TGATGTCTAGCTCATGAAGTCAAGAGAATTAAGTGGAATAATGGAAGAACGAAGCTAGAAATGAAGAATTGAGCCATTCATGCATGCATGCATATATCATAGCATTTTTAGTGTGTTTCTAAATAATTTTCACATGCATGTGCCTATCTTGACTTGGTTTTGCAAATTCATCACATTTTTTACCATTTGACCTTAATTGATCATGTTTTGTAAAGTCTAAGTTCATAATAATTCATGCTTATCATGTTCATGCCATATTCATAAGTTTCAAGTTGACTTTTGAACAATTGGCATGCTATTGGGCCTTGATTTTACGAAATGGTTTTGAATTCAAGATGTTTTTCAAGTTTAGACATGTTTTCTCAAGTTTTGGGGCCCAAAGGTTGAGTTTGAAGCATTGAATTAAAGTTTTGCATCTTGGAGGTGAATATGAAAATTCCATAATTTGACCTCCCGCTCGAGCGACAAAACTTGAGCTCGAGCGACCACTCTGTGATCTTGCACTTCACGCTTGAGCGACCAAATGTTTGCTTGAGCGAGAAATGCAAGCTCCCAAATGTTTACATATTTTGCAGACCACTTGGGCGACAAGAGTTGTGCTCGAGCAAGGACCTCAGTCTCACACTTGAGCGACTGTCGAGCAACCATCGAGTGGAGAATTCACACAACCAGTATATTTTTAGAGTTTACAGATCGCTCGAGCGAAGGAAGTTGTGCTCGAGCGACCCCTTATATGTTTACATGTCCGCTCGAGCGAGGGAAGTTGCGTTCAAGCGTGACCCCTATTTTCAGCAAGTTTTATTAAGAGTTCCAAAGTGCATTTTGGCATCTACATTGCATCCTAGGCATTCCTAGGCCATGATTAAGACACAATAAGAGGTTAAGACCTAGAAACACACTAGGAACGAAACGAAAGAAGTTAAGTACCAACCGAGTGTGTGTTTTATTATGTGTTTCTGTTATGTGTGTGTAGGTCATGCGCCACAAGTTATCTGATTTGTCTGTTCTGCAAGTGGAGCCATCTGTGAGTAATAACTTAGTAAAGTTACGTTCAACTTTATTTATTTTTTGTGTGGTGAAATAAGATCTATTTTCTAAAATGTTATGTTCAGTACAATAAAAGAATGTCCAATTTCTGACAAGTATTACCTTGCCCTGGGGTAATAATACCGTGGTCTATAAGCACAAGGCCCTTGCCCATGGGTAATAATACCGTGGCTCAAATATATTACAAGTTCCCGGTACCGGACGTTCCTTATGGAACTGACAAGCATGATAACGCTAATGGATGTACCATGTATGACATGAACTCTGATTTCTGTATGTAGTTTGAACAAGAATATGAATATAAATTTGTTTCTGATATGAACTCTGATTTCTAAATCTGTTATGGGCATCGTTCATTTAAACCCTTTACTCTGTTATTATTCACTGGGCTTCTACTCACTATTTATATTATATATGTACATGAGCAGGCACATGACTAGGCCTAAGTTGCTACCTGGAGTGTTTTGAGTCAGCCAACCATTGTGCCTCCGGGGGAGGTTCCTTTTTGAGAAGTTAAGTTTTGTGAACCTGTTAAAGATGTTTTGTAGTTTATTTTTTTTTCTTATCTATCTCGTGTATGTCTACACAACTTTATGGACCTTATATTTTATATAATTGCTTCTGTAGCCCCTTATATTTTTTTATTCTGTTAAGAGACCTTCGATAATCCTAAGATTACTGGCTGGTTACATCACTAAACCTAATGGAGCGAGTTTAGGTCGTGACATTAGAGCTTATGAATGTGTAAGGCATGTGCCCTTTTATAAATGGACTCTGATTAATGAAAGCCTAATACTCTGTTTATGTCATTTTGTATTAGTCTTTACTGTTGAATTATTGTTTTTTTTTTTTTTTTTTGGAGGGGGGGCGTTACACACTAGGCGTGCCAAAAAATTTTAGTAACAATTATGCTAAGTTTAGATCGACAGCAACCAAGCAATATTTTAAATGAACAATTTAAATAGAAAATCAAACGATTATATAAAGGCTCTAAATGCCTTGAAAGTACAAGGACTTCTTTGGGACAATTAACAATCAAAAGAAAGAGAATTTAAATAAACAAAGATAACTCCAAATGAAATTCAGGGTCGGCCTTGGGCTAAGGCAAGTGAGGCCTGTGCCTAGGGCCCCAGAAATTAGGCCAAAAAAAAAGACCCCCCAAATTCATTATCTTGTGCTATATTAAAAATTCAAAATGGCCCAATTCTGTTTAATTAATTTAGGTCATTTTAAAATGCCTCAAAAGTTCTATTTGGCCCAATTGATAAAAGGCCCCATTAAAAAATATTTATAAGTGTTAGTTGTTAGTCCAATTTAAAAATAAAACATAAAACATATGTATATGTATCAGCCGTTAGCCTAATTCTGTGTGGACTATTTTTTTCCTTCTCTTTTTATGGCCCAATTATGTGTTTTTTAGTATTTTTTAAATATTTGAATTTTTATTTATTTATTTATTTTGTAGATACATCTAGTTTAGATATACGTAAAAACTGTAATATTTGTCCTTTAAAAAAAAACAAAAAACAAAAAAAAGTTGCCAAATACAAAAAATATAAAAAAATACGAATTACAAACTCAGATAATTATTTTTGAAAATTCTAAACTAATCAGGGTGATTTTTATTTTTATTTTTTATGAATATCTAAAAGGCTCCAAAAAATTATTTCTCCTTAGGCCCCCGAAAACTCAAGGCCGACCCTGATGAAATTATCCATGTTTACAAGAACTACAAGTCACAAATTACAGAGAACAAAACTACTACTAACTTGATAATCTACTCATAAAATAAAGACTAAGTTATTGTTGGATTGTTAATCTCCCTTCTCTTTGCAAACTTCTGGCCTTTATAGTCCTTCTTTGTTCTCTTTCCTTGATTCATGATCCCATTTCCCTTGGAAACTGTAGGCCACTAACCTCCAACTGCTGCTGAGCTGCTCCGTCACTTCCAAGCCTTCAAACTTTAACAATTCTTCATATTTCCTATCGAACTAACTTTGATCCATATTGCCACATGCTTCTCATCATTTTGAACACTAAATTGATAGAAAAAACCTTTTCTTCATAAACCAATTTTCACACAAATCAATCCACTAAGCCAACAATTATTCAATAACTGCTCCATGACAACTTTTAGCAATTCATGCACTTAAAAAATTCTTTCCTGCCTTGTGTCTCTTTGACCAAATGAAAGGCTTTTACTTTTGACTTTATTGCCATGTGTTATCATTCAATTGATCAAGCTGTCGATAGGAAATTTACGAACATGGGTGTAAACAACACCTAATATAACACATAAAAAAACTCTATACTATACTTTTTTCAAATATAACACTCCAAAAAATGTAACACACACACACACACAAAAAATAAATAAATAAATAAATAAATCTTACACTCTAATGTAATACAAAAAAAAATCTTAGTGTATTTTTTTCAAATGTAATACTCTAATATAATACTCTAAAAAAACTCCGTAGTGTAACACTCTAACGTAATATACACAAAAACTCCTTAGTGTAACACTTTAATGTAACACACAAAAAAACTTCTTAGTCTACTTTTCCTAAACGTAACATTTCAATATAATACTTCAAAAAAACTCCTTAGTGTAACACTTTAATGTAACACACAAAAAAATCCTTAGTATACTTTTCCTAAACATAACAGTCCAATGTAATACTAAAAAAAAAAAAAAGATGTGGGATTCTTCAAACCATTCCAAAAGGAGTACATATATTCCTTAGTAAGTTTTGGACAAATGTATAATTTCAAACTGTGATTGTTACGTTGGGAAAAAGTATACTAAGGAGCTTTTTAGTATTTTTGTGTGTTACATTCGAATATGTTACATTGGAGTGTTACATTTGCAATTACATTAATTGGAGTGTTACGTTTGAGAAAAGTACACTAAATAGTTTTTTTGTATTACATTGAAGCATTATGTTTGGAAAAAGTACACCAATGAATTTTTTTTTAGTGTTTCGTTATTACGTTTGGGAAAAAGACACCAAGAAGTTTTTTTAGTGTGTTACGTTAAAATGTTACGTTATTAGAGTACTACATGAAAGTGTTACGTTTTTGTTCGTAATATGGGATTTGTTCTAGAATGAGGGAAAATCCAAAATTTTTACAGTACGGATTGTCCAAATATGTAATTTTATATTTTAAGAAACTCACTTTTATATCTAAAAAATTAAACCCAAACAGATAAGTGACTACCTTTTTGTGTAATTTCCACTTTAATAGGACCTTTGGGTTCATAAGAAAAAAGAAAAGACTAAATAATTTACAAAATTACATTTTGAGATTTATTGGTACTTCACCCTTGTTTGTACTCAATGGGATTCCCTCAATGGTATTCCAACTCTTCGGACCAATAATTAAAAGGAATCTTTATCTGCTCTCCAATTTAGTGTTTAATAGAGAGAAAAAGAAGGGCATGTATGCTGATTGTGGTAAAAAGAAGGGCATGTATGCTGATTGTGGTATCAGTCTTTGTTATCTGTATGCTTATCCTATAGATTAAACGAAAATAAATAAATAAAATGATCAGTAGAAAACAAAAATGACAATTTCTGAAGTTGACATTGCAGGGATGACTGAATATGTGTTTGAAATTTCTTCAGTTTCAGTGAGGGGAACAGCTTCTTCGTGCTCCATCAGAAAAGATATCAAGCCATTTATGCAATCAACAACAGACAAGCAAACAAGGAGACACAAAAAATTATATGGTCTATGAATTTTGTTATCCAAGATTCCCAATATCTTGCTGTTCGGATTGAAAGGTACATTTAAAATTTAGAAAAGTATGCTTTTCTAAATAATGACGCAACTAGGGGGAAATGAAGACTTACTGCAAGAGGTCTTGAGTCTTCCTTTCTTCTCTTTCTTTTTTATTTATATATATATTACATTTCTTATAAATTGAATAAATAATGGAAAAACAAAGGTAGTCCATGAATTGAAGATGAAACTGTCGATGGAAAGCCTTAAAATTCGTTTATTTTTTTCCTCTTTATTTTCCATCTTAATAGTCTCCAATACAGTAGACACCATAACCAAAACTTACTCCATTACAGGCAGCAACACCATAGTGTCTTCTGGTGGAAGCTTTGAGATGGGTTTTTTCAGCCCAGGCAGTTCCCGGAATCAATACTTAGGAATATGGTACAAGAATATTCCTGTTAGGACCGTTGTATGGGTTGCCAATAGAAAAATCCCACTTCTCGATTCGTCAGGCGTCGTAACTATAATCAACCCTGGAAGTCTTGCCCTTGTCCATGGTACTGGCAGCGTCATTTGGTCTCCCAATATGACAGGATCTACACGGGACCCTGTTGCACAACTGATGGAGTCTGGAAATCTTGTTGTGCGAGATGCCAACGATCAGTCTGGGCATTTTCTGTGGCAAAGTTTCGATTATCCATGTGATACTCTTTTACCGGGCATGAAGCTTGGAAAGAACTTTGAAACGGGCCTAGAGCGCCACCTCTCCTCCTGGAAGAGCAGCGATGATCCAGCTCCAGGTGAGTTTACATACCGGTGTGATCCTCAAGGATACCCACAAAATATTCTGAGTAGGGGTTCTGTTGAACTGTTCCGAACTGGGCCATGGAATGGTATTGGATTCACCGGGAGACCAAACCTTAAACCTAATACAATCTACAAATATGAAGTGGTTTACACAAAGGAGGAGTTGTATTATCGTTATGAACTCCTCAGCTCAGTCGTTTCAAGGTATGCTCTAAGTCATAATGGTGTTGCCGAGCGCTGGACATGGATTGATCGAACACAGGAATGGGTCCGTTACTTGAGTGCACCAGCCGATAACTGTGATAACTATAAACAGTGTGGTCCAAACGGTAACTGTAACGTTGGAAACTCACCGACCTGCGGTTGTTTGAGTAAATTTGTGCCCCAGAACCAAACGGAATGGGGAAATGGAGATTGGTCTAATGGGTGTGTTCGGAGGACACCGTTGGATTGCCATAATGGAGATGGATTTATCAAGTATTCGGGGTATAAAGTGCCGGACACACGGAACTCCTGGTTTGATAGGAACATGACACTCGGGGAATGCGAGATGGTATGCTTGAAAAACTGCTCTTGTATGGCTTATGCAAATTTAGACATAAGAAGAGGTGGAAGTGGCTGCTTGCTTTGGTTTGATGAGTTGATTGATATGAAAGAGTTAAATGTAAATGTGCAAGACATTTACATAAGGATGGCTTCCTCTGACTTAGGTAAGGATTCATACCAAACATATAGATTAGTGAACCTATAGATTGAATAGATTATACATATGTAAGAACTATGTAAACTTTTACATTTCTTCCTTAAAAAATTCCTCACTATATTACTTTTCTACATCTAACTACAATTTAGCAAAAAGATAGTTCATTTTGATTTCATCTTGAACCTTATTTTTTGTTGTGGGAATTCAATCTGGATGATACTTATTACCCATCCAAACTCACATGCCCACCACAATATGTCCGACTTTTATTTGTATTTGAGCCTATTTTGATCCTGGTTTATTATCTTTTGGATTTTTTTATATATTGTGTTATTTCATAGTTCTAGAGTTATGATGATCTTCGATCTCTATGCTCAAAGTGACACTGCATCATTCTTCACCATGGATGTAGTCTTGGCAGCAGAATTGTGTAGGGACGGGAGGGGGCCATAGCACCCCCCATTTAAAAAATAAAATAAAATAATATATTTATATTTTTTCAAAAAAACATAGACCCTTAAAGTGACTTCCACTTAAGGTTGTGTATGGATTAAAGATTTGAAGGAGATTTGTGGAGGGGAAGAAAAAGAAATGGGAAAGTAAAAAAATTAGTTTATATTTCATATATTTTTCCTATCCTTTTACTTTCTCTCCACAAATCTTTTGTCAAACTTTGATCCAAACATAACCTTAGTCTTTTATTTTACCGAAGACCCTAGTTTAAAAAGGAAGGTTGAAAATCAACTAAGCTAGTTAAGTTTTAAAAAAAACACGACTACCAGATATATTTATCAATACAAAAATAGAGATAAAAAAGTCCAATCAGTTGCCATCTTCACTTTTATCAGCACCAACATTGTCTTTCTACTACAGAACTCTCTTTTTGGCTATGTTAAATGGACTCTTCTATCTCCCCCACAACCCATGTCCTCCGAATATGACATGGGTAAGGGTGTGAGATATGTGTCCGACGCTCGTACCCAATTTAGACACTCAGATCCTTTAATTTGTGACAATACATGAAGAAGAAGAAGAAACTAACATTTGTTGATAAAACTATATTTTTAGGCTCCCACATGAATTAGATATAGAAATTTCATATTTTTCCTAAATTCTATTTAATTTCTAATATCTCATCCAATAATATTATATAATATGCAATATATATGTGCATACGACGTGTGCCCGTACCCATATCCAATTTTGGATACGTACCACAAGATCCTAAGATTTAAATTTATGAAGGTCTGACAATTAGATATACCCACACCCAATACTCATACTTGAGTCCATGTAACATAGGTTTTCGATCAACTTTAACTCTCAAAATAAATTATCAAACCCTTATCATCATCAAACAACTAAACTTATATTGTTTAGCTATTTTACTAATATTATTTTTATAACTTTATGTCTATCTTATATAAAATTATAGAAAAAATTGCTAACAGCAATTTTTAAATTAAAAATGATAAAATTCTACCTGAAATTTTTTGCCACGAGAAAGATTAAGTGAATTAGTCATATTATCAAGTGAAAATAATATGTTAATGAAATTTGAATATAAGTTTTAATTATTAGTTATTTTTCCATCTTAAAAAGAGAGAATAAATTTTAAATAAAAAATAAAGAAAACAATAATGAAAATTGTAAAGACCTCATTTAAAATTTTCCCTTTAGACCTCAAATTATCATGAGTTCCGTGATTGGTGGAAACACTTTCTTCTGGTTCTGCCCCAAGTAACAATTTTGGTTTTGCCCGTGTAAGCTTATAAATGCTCATATGCTTGTGTGTTTCTTTTGTTTAGCTTTATTCATCCCTTTTGCCATTAAAATTTCAATACATAGGAAAATGATCAAGGGTTCGAAATCTAAAGCAATCATTTTAAGTTTGTGCTTTCCTGATTGTATTATCTAACTGACCAATTGCCCATTTATGTTAAATGGATAGAGGATTCAACAGTCCATAGTAAGAAAAGAGAGATAGTGGTAGTGACCTTGGCATTGCTAATTGGACTTTTTTTGCTGGGTATAAGCCTGATCATGTATCTCCGAAAAAGGAAAAGGAAGAATTCACAGCTGAACAGAGAAGGTATATATCCATACGTGTCATTCTGTGTTAAACTATGTACTGGTATGCTACATTTTTGGAACTAGTTGTCATATTGATATCCATTTTGTCCCCACTTTGCAGGAATTTTGATGCACAAGTATGGTTACACTGACAAAACCCAAAAGGAAGATCTAGAGTTACCATTGTTTGACTTAACTGTAATAGCGGATTCCACAAATAATTTTTCAATCAACAATAAGCTTGGAGAGGGTGGATTCGGACCTGTTTACAAGGTAACAATGTAAAGACACTCTTATGTAGCCTATAGGAATGTGATTGATGCCCAATCTCATGGAGCCTATCCAAAAGCCATAAAAACATTCAACTTTTTTATCATTGCTTTTTCATAAATATTAATGCTACAAACACATAAATTCTTCTACAAAAATGTTCATAGAATGTTGTTCTGTGAGCTGCAGCACTGCATTCATCTTGATGTATGGGCCCCCACTTTTAGGGAAAAAAAGTAAAAAAAAAAAATTGTGTTCCTAAACTTACTAAATCTTTTAATACGGACCCCACTATTCTGAAGGTAAAATTTTTATAAATGTGCCTGCTTTTGAGAAATTATATATATATTTTTCTTTCAGCTTTCAAGGAAGACAATTAGTTTGATGCATCCTTTCTCCCTATCAAACTTCATAAATCTATGTAATTATGACTTTTAAGTAGTTGTAACATAAATCATTGGTTGTGGCTACACCTGTTGGAACAATGTCAGCCAGAGTAACATAAAAACAATATGTATAAATACAATTAATAAGAATGGAAATATATATATATATATATGTTTGCTTTCAAGCTAATTCTAGCAAAAGATCATTCTATCAATTATAATGGTAATTCTCAGGGTACACTAGAAGGAGGGCAAGAAATAGCTGTGAAACGACTCTCAAAGAATTCTAGCCAAGGACTTGATGAGTTCAAGAATGAAGTTATCTGTATTGCCAAACTTCAACACCGAAATCTCGTAAAGCTTCTAGGATGCTGCATTCAAGGAGAAGAAACGATGTTAATCTATGAATACATGCCCAACAAAAGCCTGGACTATTTTATATTTGGTTTGGCTCTCTTCAAAACTATGATATTATATATACTGCAACTATTCCACTCTAAGACCACAACCAGCAGTCATTCTTTCTTTCCTTTATCCTATACCCTTTTTTTTTTTTTTGGTTTTATATAAACCTTGTGCTTTATTTGATAATCGAAATGAAATTATATGTGGTTTTTATTACATGTACATTTGCATGAACTTGGTCTTCCAAAATTTGGGATTTTCTGTTGAGGAATCCTATTAAATTCATCCATCGGATTAGCAGGAGTGGACTAAATCAAACAAAAATTTTGGACAGATCAAAGCCAAAGCACATTACTGGATTGGTTGCAACGCTTTCACATTATCAATGGAATTGCACGAGGGCTTCTTTATCTTCATCAAGATTCTAGGCTGAGAATTATTCACAGAGATCTCAAAGCTAGCAATATTTTACTAGATATTGACATGAACCCAAAACTATCAGATTTTGGAATAGCTAGAAGTTTTGGAGGAAATGAGACAGAAGCAAATACAAATAGAGTGATTGGAACATAGTAAGAATCTCTATAATATGTTTTGTCTAATTCACTTATATTGTTGCTTCAAAATCCAATTTTTCATTCTGTGCTTTGTTGCAGTGGGTACATGTCTCCAGAGTATGCAATAGATGGGTTATTTTCAGTAAAATCGGATGTATTCAGCTTTGGTGTTTTGGTGTTAGAGATTGTGAGTGGGAAGAAAAACAGAGGTTTCTATCATCCAAGGCACCGCCTCAACCTACTTGGTCATGTAAGTGTACTGATTAGAAGTAATCTTATATGTTAGAAAAAATTTATGCACTAATATAATTTAATTAATAAAATGATTAAGATATTTACGATAAATAAAATATGAAAGCAAGTAAATTAAAAAAGAGTAAGAAAGAATTGGCCTGTGAGATTGAGAGTCGAGTATTCACTGCCCTAAAGCCGTTGTTCCTTTCCACGTGAAGGTACATCTGGAGTGCAACGACTCTAATACAACCCAAGTGCTCACAACCTTTCTCATCCGATGTTCACGTCCACCAAGAGGATATGAACGAGTCACGAACCATAGTTTCCCAGAAATACATACAATAGATAAAATACTCTTATGTTAAAACTCAATATCTCATATACATATGTCTTCTTGTGGTTTTTATGCATCCTCCATCTTTAGAAAACCTAGGAATATATATAAGTGAAAATCTCATAACATTTAATCATTACATAATTATAATAATAAAACTTAATAATATCTTTGTAACCGAAATATTTAAAATCAATATTAATGTTAATAACGGTCAAACAAATTAAATAGAAATAATTAATTTTATTTTTATTAAAATTCCAACATTTCCCCACTTTTAATAAAAATAAAATTTTTAATACTACCATAATGTTTATATTATACCCCCACAATTTAAAACTTTATATTCAAAACAATATAAATATATATAAGGGCAACTGCATATTGCGCAATAGGTGTGGGAGCATTCCGGGCTTGAACCAAACTTAAAGTTAGCAATTTTCATCTAATGGATCATAGTGAAATATATCTTGAACTAGACCCTTTGAGCCCAAGTTCAACTTGACACACACATAGCATTGGTATCGAACATCAGTTCACGAGTTAGTGCTCTTAAAGGCCATGCACTAGATCTTGATTCTCATGGGGTTACTAGAGACTAGCCCAAGTCTCCAAGTAGCAGCCTCATGACAACTCCCACTTAGTAGAACCCTCCAAAGGTACAGTGACGGAATGCACCTTGTAGGAGATTGCCTGCCTTGGATTCATTTAGGATAAAACCTTTGCTAATCAGTCACTTCTTCAGCACTATTGCCTTAGGGATGAACAGGAGATCAACCTTGATATGGTGTGTCCTAAAAAATGAACATTGAAATCAAGTCATGCTATATGGATTGTTTTTACCCATTGAACTTCCTTCATGGGATCTCCAATCACAAAAGATGGGTTACCTCCATAGGTGACTTCCTAACAGGCTTACACTCATCCCCCTCGACAAATAATAGATCTAGCCTCAACACTAGTCCAGAGGAAAAATTCACCAAATAATTTCAAAGGAATTACTTAACAAACCAATTTCATGCTACATATCTAGTAATAAATAATTTATAACAATAAAAGTAGAGATATATAGTTGTGAGATTCTAGAGTCGTTTTGATAATTCAATAACTTTTACATGGATGAAAACAAACAAATTAGACAAAGATACCAACTAATTTCACATATGAAGAGTAAGCGAAGACTTTAAATGCAACATGAACCAAACATTTGTTTTCCTTGACATTTCCTCATCTGGCTTCTCAAGCCTAACTGTTGATCAACAAGCCTACCTGTTGATCAATAATGTGTTTCTTCATCTCATGGAGTATATAATTATTAAGCCTTTTCCATTGCAGCATTCCTTTGCTTATCTTTATACACCTATAAAATTTTCAAACACACTTCTCCAATAAACAATGTTAACATAGCCTCTCAAGTATCAATTATACTCATATACAACACATTGACAATATATGTAATCGTCGTGCCATTAAATTATCAAATCAAAACCTTATAAGTTTTATGAATTTCTCTTCTAATTCATGACCTATGAATAAAGAATTTATTTTCAACTTACACTAAATTAAATATACACAACTTCTCACAATTATCAGATATAATTCAACCAAAACAAACATTCAAATTTGTTTTAACCAAAATAAAAAATTCAAATATAGGTTCTAATTTTTACATAATATACATACAAGAATTCTTGAAAACACATATATTAGTGTAACCTCACAAACACTACCCATTTCAAATTTTCGTTTAACACAACAAGAATATTATAGTGCTTTTAGATATAGCCATCTCATTTTCTTTTTCATTTTGAGTTTGAATAGAAATTTTGAAAAACACTTCAATTATATAAGCAAAATAATTTCAGAATATGTAACGCCCCAAAATAATCCAACATGAAATAGATACATCAACCAACATCCGTTAAAGAATAAGAGCAATTCTCCAACCTTTGCATCATTAATCAATAAGGTTTGTACAAAATAGCCCCACATGCGAATTATACATTCAATGGTATAGAATACATGAATCTATAGCATGTAGAACATCCAATCCCAAAAGTAAATAAAATGCTCTCAAGGGCTTACATATTCCAAGGCTTAAGCCCGGTTACACAACAATGGTCTCTCGAACTCATACACGAATAGCCCTTGGCTTACAAAAAAAAAATTTACAATCACAACAAAAAGAGTCTTACACTCTCAAAAACATACTACCACACCCTAGTTTGGCGGGTTCACCTCATCTTTTCCTGCACCAAATTTCCATAGGGGTGAGCACAAAGCCCAGTAGAAAATTCTTAACAAAGTATATACATTTATGTAATTCCCATGAAATGAAAATGCTTATGCCATGCTATTCCATTAAAGGAAATCATATCTTTTTCTTTTGAAAATCGTCATGTACCATAAAAATATGGAAGTTCCAACAGTTCAAATGTTTTACGTCAAATTCATGGGGCGGTAAATACGACTCAGGTAATCCCTAGGTTGGTGTCTGCAAGTAGGCATAACAAGCTTTACCAAAACCCCACTTTACCGGTAACTAACCGGAAGGCGCATGGTACCTACTCTACGCATGTTTTCAGTCTTTCACCCTGGACACTCAGGCCAACTTAATCAACGTCATCTACACCCCCTATCCAGACTTACCAACGTATTTACCCCAAACAATTCAATAAATTCTCTGTTAGGTTTTTATTCTTGGCAACCCCGTTTGACAAAACTCCTTTAAGATTGTATTTGTTTTCGCACTTTTTATTTCAGTGAGGCTATGAGTGTTTAGATGTGAATCCAACCCGAATTGTGCCTTGTAGAGAAGTTTGTGATGTTAATACTTTCAAGATTGCCATTTCGCTGATTATGACGGGGATTGAGCTGCCCGGTCAGCTCGCTGGGGTCGAGGGGGCAGCACTCCTTGGCGGGTCCGAAGCAGCGCCACGGTGGGGTCGAGGGGCAACGCGCTCGAAGCAAAATGAAAAATTGCATTCAATGTTGCATGTCTGCCCTTGCTTACTCGGGCCAATGAGTGCTCGCTCGAGCGAAGGCTGTGTCTGGCAAAAAACCTGAAAAGGATGATTTTACGCTTGAGCGTAGGTTGTTTGGCTCGAGCGAAGCCACTTATGGAAAACACGTGTTTTTGGTTCCTCGCTCGAGCGAGAGAGTCTTCGCTAGAGCGAGCTTCGCAGTCCTAGATTTCTATAAGTACGAGTTTTTGTCAGATTTTAGGATTACTTCTCCAGATCTTCTTATTGGGTTCTAGGGTTTATATCTGGAGATATTTTGCTAGTTTTCTTTGATGTTTTGATTGAGTATTAAACTCATGGTTTAAAGAGTATACATCAAAGGATTATTTGTTTGTTCTACACAAAAGAGAGAGTTGTTCTTCGGTGGATTCTGAAGAATTCGAGCCTGAAGCTTTGGTGGATTCTGGAGTAGCTCATCGTCAAGACAATTCCAAGGTGAAGACGGGGTTGGAAGAGGCACATAGGGGTTGGTTTAATTCTGGCGTGGATTCGCTAGGTAATTGAGAGTATACCTATATAATTCCTTTATGTCTTTTTAGTGGATTACTTTGTGGCTTTTGCCCGTGATTTTTTTTTAATCACAATTGGAGGTGTCCAATTGTGGTTTTTCCACGTAAAATCGTTGTGTCGATTTGTCTTGATTGTTTTATTGGGATTGTTATATACTGCTTAAAATTGATACATAAACCACAAATCAACATCTAGGGGATTTCTAGATTTTTCAATTGGTATTAGAGCAGGTCGTTCTATTTTTTTAAAAAAAAAAAAATTTTAGAACGAGATCTTGTTTGTTTTTTGATAATGGATTCAATACGTGAGGGAAATTCTATGGTTCGACCACCCCTACTTGACGGATCGAATTATTTTTTTTGGAAAGCTCGGATGAGATCGTTTTTGAAATCTATAGATGAAAAAGTTTGGCAATCTGTCATGAATGGGTGGACCAAACCAATAATTACCGGTGATGGAGTAACTTTCCCCAAACCAATTGATAAGTGGGACACAATTGATTACCAAAATAGTAGCTGGAATAGTAAAACTATCAATTCTCTCTTTTGCACTGTCACACCTGAAGAGTTTAGTCGTATTTGCAATTGTGAAGTCACAAAAGAGGCTTGGGATATCTTACAAATTATTCATGAAGGCACTCCTTCTGTTAAACGCTCAAAACTTCAAAGGCTCACGTCTAGTTTCGAAAACCTTTCAATGAAAGATAGTGAGACCTTTGAAGAATTTTATGCGAAGTTGAGTAACATTGTCAATTCCAGCTTCAATTTAGGTGAAAAAATACCAGAATCCAAAGTTGTGGGAAAAATTTTGAGATCCTTGCCCGATCGATTCCGACCAAAAGTTACGGCTATTGAGGAGGCTTAAGATGTTGACAACCTCAAGCTGGACCACTTAGTTGGAAATCTCCAAACTTATGAGGCACATAGGAATTTCAAAAAGAAACAAAAAGATATTGCTTTTAGTAGTGCTCGTAGAGTTGGAGAGGATTCTGATGAGGATTGTGAGATAGATTCCAAGATTACGAATGCTTTTGTAAAACAATTTAAAAAATCTTTTTTGAAAAAGAATCCTAATCTTTGGAATCTACTCATACTCATAAATCTAAAGGCAAAGATAAACTCAAAATTAATTCTATAGCCAAGGAGAAAG